CCCTAAGTATTTTATTTTTAATGTTAGTGTAAATGAATTTTTTTTCTTAATTTCACATTAAATTGTCTTTAAAATAGAAGAAGTTTTTGCCCTTTTAAAGGTTTTATATATATATATATATCTGGAACATCACAAAAACAGGATTTCAATCTGGGGATCATCTCAGTGTTTTAGATTTTCAAAGGACATGGGCCAATTTGAAGAAGAAAAAAACATTGTTTTCTTTGTGATCACTTAAAGCTGTACGTGAACCAAAGGAAATGCAAAATATTAAGGAAGATATATATACACACATATATATAAATACATATATAATTTTGTGTTCTCTTATCAAATTAACTGTGTAACATGTACTCATTCATGTGTGAATCATGTGATATGCAAAATATCATACTAAATTTTGAAATTTTAAGTAACCATGCAGATTTTATGTGTTTATAAAGCCTATTGACTATATGAAATGTAATGAGTAATGGTTTAAAAATAATCATTAGTGTCACTGGAAGTATTTACTCATGGAATCTTCCATTACATAAGTCAAATATGTTGAGTTTTGGATGGCATCAGGGTGTCAACCTAGTCAGCAAAATAATTATTAATACTATGCTTACATATAGAGCAAGAAGAAACATGTTAAGAATGGTATGACTAAATATAAGTTATCTGTAAACATGGTATTTAAATTAATTTTTCCACATCCTGTATTAACAAAGATACCACTTGATATCTCAGAAAAGCATTGTATTAGAGATGTTAGATTGGCTGGGAGTTTTGTAGTGAATACTGAAAATTATTAATTACAATGGGGCTTTTAATTGTTCAACATTCTTGTAATCCTTGCTTCAGGAGTTATTAAAACTACACAGAAGAAAATTGTTCCATAAAAATTATATTCTTTTTAGAGAGTTTATAAAACAGTACTCTTAGTTGACTTTTCTGAAAGATAATAAATTTAAAAATGCAAGCACACTCACCCAGAAACATTGGTTTCATGATTATTTGTGTACTTGTCTGCAATAATAACAGGATTTGACAGCAGAAACCAGCTGATGACTTACATTTTCTGAAACGCACTGAATTGAAACCTATTGAATCAATCACTATTGGTAAACATTGTCAAGATAAGAACGGGCTATTGTTTTGCCCCTGGAAGATCTATCTATATTACTGCCATCCATTTGTTATACTATGTATTTTAGACTGAAAACGTCTTAATAAGGGAATAATACCAAAGGTGAGGAAAGCAAATTTTAATAATACATGGTTAAGGCATCTCTTTATACTTATAATGAAAGATGGTATAATTTGTTAGTATAGCAATACAAAAGGGTTGAATGATTTTTGTTTATGCTTTGTAACTGTTGTGGAAATTAGGCAGTTTTAATTTACTTTCAAATAGTGTTAGTTTTAATCATCATTTAGTAACTATGTAAAATAAGTTATTAGTCTCAAATATTACTGCATTTGTAAGATCCTTTTTCAAGCATTTGTTATTTGTCCTTTCTTGAAGTGGATACTAGTTGGTTTTCAGACTTTAGCTATGATATCAACTCAAAGTATAGTTTAACATAAATAGATTCCTTGATAAAAATGAAGTCATGTATTTTTAGGATGAATATTTAACATATTTACTAAAATGTTATAATCTACAAACTATAACATTACAATCTCCTTTATAATAAAAATTTCACGTTTTGCTTAGTTTTCCTTTCTTTTACTAAAAGAAAATTAACAGCTGTTAAAAATTGTAGTATGTTTCATATTCTTTAACTTTATTTTTCATTTATGAAAAACATTTTTCTGCTGGTTCAAAACATTAAAAAATTATCAAGGAAAATTTCACATTTAGCTTTTAATGATAAATACTTATCCTATGTAATAAGACTTACCTAGTATAGGTATATTTCTTTTTTAACATGTCTTATGTTCTTCTGAGAAATAAAGCATTTTGAGAATTAAAGGTTCTGACACGTAGTTAGAGAAACTGACCTTTAAGGTTTCTTGAAGTATAATGTTTCCAATATTTTTTTGCTGTTTTTTTTTTTTTTTTTTTTTTTTTTTTTTTTTTTTTGAGCAGGAACTTGTAAATCTATAGAAGTTCCCAACAAAAATGAAATTTTCTTTCTATAATAATTAACTTTTAAATATAACCTTCAAAAATGTATTTTCTTATAAGAGTACATTAAAGTATAAAGTTAATACCTGAAGCACACAGTGGAGCATTTCATTTCTTTCTCAGTATTTTTGAAAGAAATCACTGTGTGCTTCCAATTTACCCTTATTTCTTTCTTCCTGCAATCCTGTAAGTAAATAAAATCGTTTAGAGTCATTAAAACCTAATAAGAAACTAGAGGGTTATAATAGATTACATTTCCTTTGTGGTGAGCTGACAGGATAGATCTAATAGTCTTGAATGCCCTTTTGACATATGACAGATGAAGTAGCATCTACATCCTCAAGGGAGGATGTCTGAAATTAAAGACACACAGAGTCTCTACTCTGCCTTGAGATTAGACAGCCCTCTAAAAGCCTTGACGTTGGGGACTACAGTCTCTGGCCTCAACCATTCACCCCAGATTTAAGAAAGGAAGGCACTCTTAAGTAATCATTCATGAGAACAATTTCAGTGACCTGATTGCCAAAGAGTAAGCCACCATAAGAATGATGAGGAATATTGCTAAAGCTACACACTTTGGGCTGTTTAGGAAGTATACAGTAGGTGTCACTGGGTGTGCCTTCTCAATAGATGACTACACTGTTATTAAAATGAAGGTTGCCACCAAGTAGCTAAGTTTAATTTGAGCTGCATTCATTTTCCATTGTTGCAGAACAAATAACTAAAATTTAGCAGTTTAAAATAATAAACATCATCTCACAAAATTTCTGTAGATTAGAAATTCAGGAACAGGTTAGCTGGGTTTTCCTGGCTCAGGGTCTCTCATGAAGTGGTATTCAAGATGTCATTTAGATGTCATCTGAAGAACTGTCTGGAGACGGTGACTTTCTGGGTGGCTCCTTCACATGCGTGGGAAGTGGTGCTTGCTGTGGGCAGGAGGCCTCTATCCTTTCCACAGAGCTGCTGAGAGTTTTCAAGATGAGGTAGCAGGGGCCTGGCTCTGGAGGTGGGACTTGGACAGCGGACCAAACTGAGGACTAGCTAAAACATGGACAGGAGAGAAGCAGCTTCCCATAAGACCATTGCCATGGCCGTTAACAGCCTCTTTCCATGGCAATGATCTGCAACCCAGTAGTTATTGCTCTTTTCCTAGAAATTTTTTTATTATCCACCCCTTACTCTGTATGCAACTGAAAGTAGATTTGAACATGATTGCAGAACTGCCTTGAGCTGCTGCTGTCTGCCTGTAAGTTAACTCTGCTCTGCAAGAAAAGTCATGGAGCTATAACACTGCCTAGAACTGCAACACTGCTGCTTCAGTGAAGTTTTCTTCTAGCCATCAGCTCGCCCTTGAATTCTTCCCTGGATGAAGCCAGGACTTCTTGCAGCCTCAGTCCCACTTTGGGGCTCCTCTGTCTTGTATCAATGACACTGGAGTGCTTCCACTGGAGTGAATTATCCAGCAGAGGGCAAGGCTGAAACCAAAATGCCTTTTATGACCTGGCCTCAGAAGAGACATACCATCATTTCTGGAATATGCTATTGTTTACACAGACTATCCCTATTCGAAGTGGGAGGGGGCCACAGAGTAAATGAATTTTTGGAGGTGAGGTTATTGGGGGCCATGACGGAGGCTGAGTACCACAGAGTATAGGAATTCTTTTGGATTATTAGTAAAGATGGACTTATGAAAATAAGTTGTTCTTTTTTCTGAAACAGCCCTTCATCTCCCTTTTTTGTGCCTCTTTGAGCACCCTCTATTTCCAAATCCCAGAACTTCCAAGCTGTCTCCTTATTCCTCAGGGCTCTGCTGTGGTGCCTTTCCCATCCTTTCTCCCTCATGAAGTCAACAAATATGTATTAAGGGCAACTTGTATGCCAGTCACTTCACACCAGTGAAAAAATTACTCATTTCATAGAGCTTACCTTTTATAAAGTAGCTGCTTTTCATAGTAAGTAGTCTCCTGTCATCCACAATTTTCAGTTTTATCCTATTAGCATTCTGCTAAAATTACTATATGTCTAATAATAAAAACAAATTTGAGGTAAAAGATCAATGATTGGCACTATCTCTTTCAAGAACTGCTTGTATTTCAATAGAAGTATTCTATGATTTAACCTGAAAGCATAAGGTGGGATTTTAAGGCCCTGAGGCAGAAACTAAGCAAAGGAGGGAAAGTCTCATTTGCACTAATTTCCCTGCTTTAAATCACCATAGGACTACTTTCATTCAATGAAAACCATTACCATCAGGTTATCTCATTCAGCATGATGTTTTGCAGAACCTGGAAATGGAAGAAAGAAGAAAAAAGTATATTTCAAGCCTAAATAGGGGCAAAACACATTGATGTAGTTATCTTCATGATCACATGAGGAAACTCAGAGATTAATGTAACTCATGTTACCATTTCCTTTTGAAATTGATAACAGTGTGATTTGAATTTCCTTAAGTTTGAGAAAAAGACATGGATCATCTTTTATATTTGTTTATATCCTAACCCAGTGTTTCAGGGATTCTGACGTTTATATTTTTGACTAACTCTAAAACATCTTTCCACGGGGCTTCTTATTATTTTTTATATATATTTTTTAGTTTTAAAACTGTTTAGACCAATAAATCTTTCTCTAGATATCACATTGGTCAGCATGGAGGAGGCAAATGGAAACTAATGACACTCATCAAGTTGATGATGTGAATGATATATTGGATCCAATCACTTAACACTTTCATAAAGTCAATATCAGGGAAAAAAACTAGGCCCTTATTATGGTAAACTGTATTTGTACTGTCAGCATTCTGTGATTTATTACAAACCCATGGCTAGGATTAGGATATTATAAATGGGGGAAAAATGGAAGGCTCATTAATTTTTTATACCCACAGGTGGAAGACATGCAGTGGGCTAACAGAGAACACACTCACCCAGCGTCTGTCTGCAGCCTGCCATGTAAGCCGGGGGAGAGGAAGAAAACGGTGAAAGGGGTCCCTTGCTGCTGGCACTGTGAACGCTGCGAAGGTTACAACTACCAGGTGGATGAGCTCTCCTGTGAACTTTGCCCTCTGGATCAGAGACCAAACATCAACCGCACAGGCTGCCAGCTTATCCCCATCATCAAATTGGAGTGGCATTCTCCCTGGGCTGTGGTGCCTGTGTTCGTTGCAATATTGGGAATCATCGCCACCACCTTTGTGATTGTGACCTTTGTCCGCTATAATGACACACCTATTGTGAGGGCTTCAGGACGTGAACTCAGTTACGTGCTCCTGACAGGGATTTTTCTCTGTTATTCAATCACCTTTTTAATGATTGCAGCACCAGATACAATTATCTGCTCCTTCCGACGGATCTTCCTAGGACTTGGCATGTGTTTCAGCTATGCAGCCCTTCTGACCAAAACAAACCGTATCCACCGAATATTTGAGCAGGGGAAGAAATCTGTCACAGCGCCCAAGTTTATTAGTCCTGCATCCCAGCTGGTGATCACCTTCAGCCTCATCTCTGTCCAGCTTCTTGGAGTGTTTGTCTGGTTTGTTGTGGATCCCCCCCACATCATAATTGACTATGGAGAGCAACGGACACTAGATCCAGAGAAGGCCAGGGGAGTGCTCAAGTGTGACATTTCTGATCTCTCACTCATTTGTTCACTTGGATACAGTATCCTCTTGATGGTCACTTGTACTGTTTATGCCATTAAAACCAGAGGTGTCCCAGAGACTTTCAATGAAGCCAAACCTATTGGATTTACCATGTATACCACCTGCATCATTTGGTTAGCTTTCATTCCCATCTTTTTTGGTACAGCCCAGTCAGCAGAAAAGGTAAGTGGCAGGAAGTGCTCTTGACAACTTTTTCCTGGATTTAACATCAGGATGCTTTTCCTCTTTTTTTTTTTTTTTTTTCACATATTCTCTCAAGGTGCTTCAGTCTGAGCTATTCTTACCTAGAAAATATATATATATATCTCAAGGTCATATTGCTTTGAATTTGTGTTGACAAAGGCTGATTTTCCATGGAAAACACTTTAATGTGTCCTCTTTGGCAAAGTTAAAGATGGACAGAGCTCACATCACTTTCTGAGTCTCTCTTCCCAGCTCTGCAATCTGCTAGCATCACTATTCTTTTCCAAATGTTAATTAAAAGAGGGAGGAAGAAAGGGCAGACATGGTTCACAAGGGTGAGCTGTCCCCGAGATATGCCACTGCATGACAAATGCCTTCCTTTCTGTTCTAATATAACTCTGGGAAAAAGCCATTGCTTGGTAATTATGATGATTTTAGTCATGGAAGCAGAGTTTATGATGAAATTCTCATATACATACACACAAAAACTGAAATGGCTTCATGCAGTCTGAACCATCTTACTATTTCTTCTCAGTCCCCATTCTTGTTACTTTTTCATATGTGGAAGTTGATGGTGAAGGTAAAGAGGGCAGCAATGGATGATTATATAAAACAGTTTATAAATTTTAGAAGGCAAAGATCAATGGACTCCCCCAAAGTAATTTTTTGTCACTAATCTCCCATTAATGTTTTCCACATAAAATACTGCTGGTAAAGAAAATCTGTATGTGAAGGGAGTGTTTGCCGAGTTAAATGTTGTAGTTCTGTGTACAGAAAAGCAGAGAACTAAGGTGAACTCTAAATTCCAAGGTTTGAGTAGTGAGATGGAGATAAACCAGCTTGAAAAACAGAGGCAAATGCTCTCTTTCTGTAATGATAGCCCTTCCACTCTGACGGGCATGTGAGAGGGCTCTTCTTTCAGAGTGAGGACTTGATTATTCCATCCTCTGCCACCAGAAGTTGTGAGAAAAATCAAACCTCCTGGGGTAATTACATTTCCCAGGCTGTAACATTCCAAGGAGGTTCTGCATGACCCAGCAGAAAGTCCCAGCAAATTCAGAGAAAATTTCCACAAGAAAGGGACAGAAAGCTCATTAGTATGAGTATTCATCCCTTCCTCAGTCAATGTGGCCTTCAACTATTTTTGGACAAATAATGTACTTCAGCAAACTTGCTGCTGAAGAGAGTAAACTTGTTATTCTATTAAAAAGGTTTTTGAAAATTTGCAAAAATGGTAAATTTAAAAAATAACCATTTTCTCTGAGAACAGTAATATTGCAGAGTTGTAGATGCCCCCTGAGGAGCAGTGATAAAGATGATAAGAATTTGATAGTGAAATGGACACATGAATATGCCAGAGGGTGGAGGTTGCCTGAGACTGTCGGAGTTGTTCATTCATTTGAAAGCCTGGGGTTTATGCATAATTTTTGGGTGTCTATATAGCTATGCCTATGCAGATATGATTGAGTGTGGCTAGCAAAACTCCTTTTTCTTTCTTAGCTTTCTGAAATCAAAGTAAATCTAAAAAGTGCACTGAAAGACACATTATAAAATATGTTAATGTATTCATTTTGCATTTATAATATAGTTGGATGTGAAAAAGTCTAAAGAAATCAATTAAAAAACACTAACTAGGAATTTTGAGAACATTGTAGAGTCCACAAATTATTTAGTCATGAAAACGTCAAATTTAGATTAGCGCTACATCAAGGACTATCATATTATAAATAGCTAAGATTTTGGTACTGAGGTTCTTCATATTATAAATTTATGTATTACTCTAAATCTACATCTTAAAATTTGCTACCTGCTATTCTCTTTGCAAGTATATTTTATTATTCAAGACAATACATAAAATGATTGACAAGCTGAGGCAACACAGCAAACCCTTTCTCTACAAAAATAAAAATAAAAAATTAGCCAAGCATAGTGGTGTTCACCTTTAGTCCAGGGTATTCAGGAGCCTGAGGCAGCAGGGATTGCTTGAGCACAGGAGTTCCAGGTTACAGTGAGATAGGATCACACCACTGCATTACAGGGTGGGCAGCAGAGAGAGACCTGGTCTCTACCAAAAAACAACGCTTAAGAATGTTTGTGTTTTCACATTGCTTAAACTATTGACATGAATATTAAAAATGAACAAAACTTGTATATCTCTACAGGAAGGCTTTAAATATGTTCTATTGACCTTGGAGGACCAGAGAGCTGGTCCATTTTCATTTATATTGCTCAGACAATCAGCCCCATATTATCAACTTGAAGTGTTTACTACAGCTAGCCAGCACAGACATCCATTAACCCAGCAGCTCATTATTGAGCATTGTGTCCAGCATTGTGCTAATTATTGGGCCCATGTCAGTCGGCTTTCCTGAGCCTCCTTTGTAAGGCTCAGTCTGGCTCCCAGCCCATGCCTTCTTGATACCTGCCAGCACCAGCAAGGTGCCAGGCTCAAAGTCAGAAAAGGATCAGACTCAAGGGCAGGAGAAGTGGTGAGGGGTCAGAAATGAGATGAGAAAGCAAAGCAGGGAACTGTGCATTCTGTAACTGTGCAGTGGTGACACCGAATTTACAACATGCAGAAGAGCAAAATGTCTTCCAGTATGCATTTAATTGTTTCTTCTCAGAATGACGTCAGAGAATGCATCGAACCATACAGGTCTCTCTGAAATTACAAGAAGCAGGAATAAAAAGTAAACTTAGTTGAAAAGTTTAGACCAATGTTTTTAAAAACATTTGGGTAAAATCAAGTTATAAAGGGACACTTGTAGCAGTTATGAAGACAGACAGCTTTCCAAAGTATCTTTATTCAATGATATTTAACTTCCCCACATTCCTTTTCCCTTCATTCTTGAAATCATGATGAATCATTTTTCCCGATAGATTTTAGTAACATCATTTGTAACTACTGCTGAATTGAACTAAATTTTGGTATAAATGCACCTTTTGTTTTTCTATAGAAAAGTAGTATGAAGGAAGGGTAGACCACTGAGGCATGGCCACAGTAACACAAACTAACATAGTTGTACTGAAAAGAGAAAAAATTTAAAATATAATTAACTTAATAGTCAGAAGAAGTATCCTTAGGGATGGTAAGGGTCTATAAGGATAGCAGAAATCTCTAAAACACATATTTTATCATCCTTAATTGGGCTTTTAAAATCGAGATAATCAGAGAAGGGTTATGACACTGTCAACCACCAGTGAGCACAGTGCTTCATCTAGAGCAACAGATGGAAACCAAACAAAATACCCTCGAAGTGGAAAAGAAAATAAAACTCAGAAAGACAAAAAAAAAAAAAAAAAGAAAAAAGGAAAAAACCTTCCAATAAATCTCAAAACAGCTTTTCTTCCTGTGGCCTCAGGATGCGTAGCAGCCCAAGTCAAAGATTTGGGTGTCACCTTAGACTCCTCCCTCTACTCACTCCTGCCCTTTTATTTTCTCTTCTCCCTTTTGAAAGTCATCGTTATAAATTTGTGGACGATAAGCAATGTCTATCTGAATGAATATGTCTCTTAACATAGAGCTCTTCGTATAGTCCATTCTCAATAAATGATATTCAACAAGTTAATATTAATGATATAATAATATAAATGCATATTGGTGATTTAAGTTAGACCATGGCACAATGAGAATCTTCTGTATGCATCTTATTGTAATCTCCATTATAACAATTTTTTTTTCTAAAAAACATTTGTTTCCCATTTAATGATGGGCCAGGTAGATTCTTTTCCTAAAAATTTGCCGTTATCACCTATTCTCAAATAAGGCTACTACATATTTAGAGAGAAGGGCAAGAAAGAATTATTACACTTGTCCTTTGCTCCATCCAGAATTCACAAAGCAAAGGAGAACTGATGCAACTATTAAGATACTTATCACATCTCTTGTTCTTTTTCTGTATTTACAAGCAGAAGAGTATAGGGGTACACAGGTGGGCCAGTGGAGTAAGAAAGAGCATAAGCTCCTGAGTATAAAAACTTGGGTTCAAATCCTGTGTCTGCTAAATAGCTGAGAAAACATGGGCAAGTGGCTATGTGATCTACCAGTGCTAATGAGCTCCTCCTGGGCGATACAGATTTCAGTACAAAGCAGCGTAAAGTAACCAACTGCCGTCTGCACCCAGCCCTGTTCTGGAACTAGGTTGAGTTCGTATATTCTGGGGAAAAGCAGGAAGAGGGTTGATTATTTAAGACACACACACACACACACACACACACACACACAACTTTTGTCTCTTTATGGTGTGTTTTTATGCTAATAAATACGTCATATTTGTTTTGCTGAAAGTTACATGACAGGAGTCATGAAAAGTGTTTCATGCACATAATAAGGAAGGAATAAATGTTAACTATTGTTACCATTAAGCTGTTACCCATGAGGGCAAGGACTTTCTTTGGTTTTGCTCACCATTTTATCTTCAGCACTCAACATAATATTGAGTCTGTAATAAGTTCTTTAAAAAATATTTGTTTGATGACTGAATATATTCAAATGAATTGAGTGAGAGGATGGATTTGATTTATCCAGGTAATTGTCTCAAATTTCTCCAGCTATTTAGACCATATCTGAGCAGCCCCCCAACTGAAAGTGTCTCCTCTCCCCTCCCCTCCTCTCGTTTCCTTTTTTTGACACTGTTGCTCTGTCGCCAGGCTGGAGTGCAGTGGCGCGATCTTGTCTCACTATAACCTCCGCCTTCCAAGTTCAAGCGATTCTCCTGCCTCAGCCTCCTGAGTAGCTGAGCCTACAGGCACACACAGCCATGCCTGGCTAATTTTTGTATTTTTAGTAGAGACGGGGTTTCACCATGGTGGCTAAGAAGGTCTCGATTTCTTGACTTCATGATCCACCCGCCTCGACCTCCCAAAGTGCTGGGATTACAGGTGTGAGCCACCGTTCCCAGCCTGAAAGTATTTTTTGTTTGTTTTTTGAGTTGGAGCCTCGCTCTGTTGCCAGGCTGGAGTTCAGTGGTGCGATCTCG